AAAAAAAAAAAAAAAAAAAAATCCTCCCTGCCCCTCCATCACTGAGAAAGGAAAGCCTTCTTCACCCTCATTGCCCATGAGGTGCAGTCCAAGCTTTTCAGCCTACAGCTGGTGTCCTCCATGTCCCCTTCTGGCCATTGCCCTGTGCCTCTGCAGCAGCAGTGGCGTCTCTTGCCCCATACACAGCCCTGTGGCAGCCCCAGGCTCCTCGCACTACTGCCTGTGTTCAGGAGACCTCCCTCTCATTTGGCTCATTTCTGCTCATCCTTTAAAATTCATTAAAATGGATATACCCTTTGACCCAAGAATTTGACTTCTACAATGTTCCCTACGGATATACTTAGGCACCAAGTTCTAGATGCCAAGATGTTCCTCTTAGCTTTGTTTATAATAGTAGAAGACTAGAAACGACCTCTGTACAAGGATGGGTAGCTGCTTGACTGATACTCAAGGGATGATACTACAAAGTATTCATTCCTACTACTAAGTGCTGGTCAGCCAGAGTGGGTGAGGTCTCTGAGGATCAGTGGAAAGATGAGGTGTGGCACATTGTGTCTGCTGCAGTCCAGTGAGCATCAGGAACAAGTGGGGCACGTGTGTGCTCACACACACTGAGGGCTGAGTCCAGACTGGCCAAGAGGCTCACTGTTCACTGCATACCCTCCATGCTTTCCACTTTTGTTTTTTAAAACCATATGTAAGTACTTTTCAAAAACATTCTTTAGTGTAAATAAAAAAGATTAAGCCTCAGTTAGGTATTGGCTCCCAGGAAGTCAGTCTGACCCATGGTTTCTGCCAGGCTGTCCTTTCAGGTGCCCCACAGCACCTGGGATGACTGGCTGAGTGCCCCATTGTAATTATGATGCCACCATCTCAGAGCTCCACGAGGCCAGGGAGCAAGCCACACTTGTCTCAGAACCCTCTGGCACTTGGCGTGTTCTCAGTATGCACGTTGGTAGTGTCCAGTCCTTCTAGATGCCCTGACCTGGTGATTGGTTGAGGAGTCCACAGAGTGCCCTGCCTCCCCAGAAGAGGGAGTCTGGGTCCAGCAGCCTTGGAAAGGCCTGATGGATGAGCAGCTTTGTGAACACAGGAAGCCGGCTCGGTACTCCCAAGTTGTGAACCGGAGACCTTCGAGTGCCAAGGGAGCTGCGGTTGTGAGGACATCCGTCCCCGTAGGTCTGCTCAGGCAGATTAGATGAGGAGGGTAGGCAGGTCAGGACAGGACAGGATGGGGAATTTCTCTGAGTCATTCTGAGGAACAATAGAGGAAGCTGCAGCGGGGTAATCACCGCCACTTCTTGGCCTGTGGGTACTTCCTGTGACAAATCAAGTTGACCACATGTTCAAACTGAGCTTGCAGTCAAACCCAAGCGCTATCCAAATTCACCAGAGCCAGGCTATTTCTGGTGAATTTGAACATAGTCTCTGAGTGTCTCCTGAAGCCCACAGCAGGCCGAGCCCATCTGGGTCAAGGATTCGCTCTCTGAGAAGGTCGGCAACAGGTGCCTGGGCCTGCAGGACGATGACCTGACACTCAGGAGTCCTGTGGGCACAGCCATAGGAAGAGGGGTTTGGCTCAAAGAGAAGGCCTGAGCCATGAGGTTGTTTTGTGGGAAAGGAAGTAGGCCAGGATGAATTGTGGGGGGCGGGGCTTAGGATGAGGCATATTTTAGCTCTGGAAAATTCAGTGGCTGTGGTGGGCTGAGGTGGGTGCTGTGTGCCAAACTGTCTCTCCGCTAACTGCAGGCTGGGTAATACCCTGTGTTGCTGTTAAGAGAAGTGACTTACCTAAAGAACACCACCAGCATATGCCAAAGCACAAATCAAAATGTGGGTCTGTGGTCCATGCCGTCTCCTGATGAGGTCTCATGAAGGGGAACTTCAGACGGAGCTAAGCAATCCCCACCCAGGCTGTGGCGGAAGGGCGTTTGCATGGAGTGGGAGGGAAGCCCGAAGTTGTTATGTCTCTGTCCCTATCGCCTCGCCCAGGACAGGCAGTGCTGGTGAATACTAGACTGGTCGAGGTGAAGACATAATCTCTCGTTTGAATGTGAGGGCTCTAGAGAGAACACTGGAGCCACCTTGCTGGGCATTTTGGCAGCAGCTGGCTGTGGTGGGAGGAGAACCTGTATTTACTTTGTGCCTGCTGTGTGCCGAGAGGGTTGGCATTTCCCAGCTGGCATTCCTGGTAGCCATAGAAGGAGGCATCCATTATCTCCTTGGCTCAGAAGCGAGGAGCAACAAGGTGACTTGCCTAAGCTCACCAGGCAGTGGAGGGTGAAAGGCCCAGAAGTGGCCCCCAGGCCTCCCTGACTCCCCCAGCCCAGCCCAGGTCAGAATGCCAGCACCTGGTGTTTCTTCCTCATCCCGTGAGCCAAGTGCTCTTCCCCAGGGGCTCACCTTCCACATTTGCCTCCCAGTCAGCATTTCTCTGAGGCCACAATGCAGCAGGGGAGTCCTTGGGGTAAGACTAAAGGGGGGGCCTGGTTTCCATCTGGACCTGCCTTCCATGCCCTATGGCCTTAGAGGTGGGGGTCCATCCCTGCCTCAGTTACCTTCCATGCAGAAGGCTGAGGGAGTCCATGGTGCACAGGAAGTGCTTTCCCTGAGTGACTCTGCCCCTGCGCACCTCTCACTTCCTGTCTGCCCAGCTTCAGCCAGGCTAGCTGTGTGCCTAGTGGGCAGAGAGAGCCAAGCTGAAGTCCTACAAATGTGCAAGGCAATGCAGCTCTAAAGTTCCTTCACTGCCACACAGGCGTGTTTCAGGGACTGACTGATCTGTGCCTGCAGTAGGTACCTGAGGCCTGAAGCTCCCATTTGCTCATCTGTAGAACAGGGATAATCATGCTGCCCGTATGAGCTTTTTTTTTTTTTTGGAGTTTCACTCTTGTTGCCCAGGCTGAAGTGCAGTGGCAGTCTCGGCTCACTGTAACCTCTGCCTCCCAGGTTCAAGTGATTCTCATGCCTCAGCCTCCCAAGTAGCTGGGATTACAGGTGCCCACCACCACACCCAGCTAATTTTTTATTTTTAGTAGAGATGAGGTTTTGCCATGTTGGCCAGGCTGGTCTTGAACTCCTGATGACCTCAGGTGATCCACCCACTTCAGCCTCCCAAAGTGCCCATGTGAGGCTTTGAGGAGTAGATGTGGTTGTGTCTGCAAAAGATCTGACCTCAAGCCAACTCCACGTGACATCTACTGCGCCTTCCTCACCCGCACTGGGGAGGTCTGACCACGGGCCCTGCCCCACCTCAGGTTGTTTCATTTCTGAAACTGCTTCCTCATGAGTCAGCCCAAGGCTGGCCTTCTCCCTGCTGCCTACACGTCCATGTGTGGGCTTCACCACACTCCCACCTGGAGCACGGCAGGAGGCTGCTAGCATATGTGTTAATGTCCGTCTCCCCTCAGAACATGCGAAGGTGCTGGAGCTTCACAAAGAAAGGAAGATGTGGGCCTGGGCCTTTGTGGCCTGGAGCAGCTCGCCTCTGAGGCACAGCAAAGTTCCATAACCTACCCACAGCCACATGGTGGTGGCACCAGGACTTAGACCCAGCTGTGTTTTGCCCCCAGACCTGGGCCTTCCCTCCACAAACCTGGGTCTGTAGGTGCACATGTACTGGGTGATCTCAGGACAAATTAAGTGTGTGCCTGTGAATGCTCCCCTCAACAATCTAGACAGATGGTTCCTGTTCCAATGAGTAGGGTGGTCAGGGTAGGCAGCAGAGTGTGTCCCAGACTGGGAATCCAGACACCTGGGTTGTAGTCCTGACACTGCCCCATTGCTCTGTGACTTTGGACAAGTCATTTCACCTCTCTGGGAAGGAAAGTCTACCTGTAAAATAGGGGTTGGACCAGATCAAGACTGAGCAATTTTTTTCTTTAAAGATAGTAAGTATTTTAAGCTTTGTAGGCCATGTAGTCTCTATCATAGCTGTAGCACAGAAGCAGCCACAGACAATACGTGAACAAATGAGCGTGGCTGTGTGCCCGTAAAACCTTATTCACAAAAACAGGTGGCAGGCCGGATTTTGCTCGTGAATCGTGGTTTGCTAACCCCTGAGCTAGAGGATCTCATAACGCACTTGCAGCCATTGCTACTCTAGGATTCTGTAGCAGCAGCCATGTGTGGTGGAGCTGGAACCCAAGCTGTGGATTAATCACCAGTCGGCTTTGATGCCGGTCAAGAAATTAGCATCTGTCAATTTCTAATGTGGTTGCATCCTATGAGGGAGCAGAGGGAAATTTCAGTCTTTGGTAACCAGTTCTGTTTTTCTCCTTGTAGAATGCTGAGATGTATAAACTGTCTTCACAGCAATTCCATGAGGCAGCTTCGAAGATGGAGAGCACAATAAAGTAAGAATATGTTTATTATTCTTTGTAAACTTGGCCCACATTTGTAAAAATTACCACATGTGGCTAGAAACCTGCCACCACCTGCCTAATTTCAAGTTTCCCTAATAATACACACAACCATCTGTTCCTCAGCTCTCTCACCTGGATCTGAGGTAGCCATTGGTCATCTGTAATTGGCCAAATTAGCACTCAGTTCTTATCTAGCTCCTTGGCAAATTGGATTGGGGCTGAGGTAGACTTGCAGAGTTATTTTCAGGGCCCAGTGTCTGGTGAGCAGGGGCTCCTTTCCTTGTGTAGCTAGCTGAGGAACTGGCCGTCAGGCCCCAGAAGGAGTTGGGGCAGGAATTCTGCTGGCTTCTCTCCCCTCTGACTGTGGGGGGGTTTTCAGGGGAAGGTATCCCCTCTCAATGCTTCCTGTGCCTGGTACGTGCAGTGCACCCTGTGCGCACTCCTGCTCGGGGTGGCCCACACTTCATGCCCAGAGGAACTGAGGCCCAGAGAGCTGCTGGCTTGCTCAGATCACACAGTCCTAAGTGCCAGCATTCTGTCCCCTGTCTGTGGTGCTCCTGTACCATCCATTGAGGACTCAGGAGCAGGGAGGTGCTCACAGTGTGCCCAGTACCGATGTGGCTCTACTCAGTCAATAGTACAGTTCCCTGGAAGGTCAGAAAGTGATCCTTGCTGGAAGGAATTGGGTCTTATGGGTTCTCTGGGTGAAGTTGGTCTCTATGGACCTGAGAGACCTTCATAAATTAGCCAAGGGGCTACCACCAACTCCATCCACTCCCTGGGAAGGCTGCTCCCTCCCAAGAGTGAATTGGGGCAATTCACCCAGCAGCCCTCAGGGCACAGAGTTGTGAGCAGTGGGTCTGGCCTCATGAGAAAGAAGTGTCAGAGACAGGTTTGCATGATACTTGTAAAAACAGCTGTGCAGAGAACTGTGAGGAGCTAGAAGGACAGGGGGGACAGACGAACAGTCAGTATAGATCCAAAGGCACAGAATAGGACAGGCAACAACGTAGGCTGGTTTGGGGATCTTTTTTTGAGACAGGGTCTCACTGTGTGGGCCCTGGAGTGTAGTGGCGCAATCATGGCGCAATGCAGCCTTGACCTCCTGGTCTCAGGTGATCCTCCCACCTCAGCCTCCCAAGTAGCTGAGACCACAGGTGTGTGCCACGCCCAGCTAATTTTTGTATTTTTTGTAGAGATGGGGTTTCACCGTGTTGCCCAGGCTTAGTGTAGGGGTTTTCTTCTTGAACACTAAACACCTAAAGCTCATGGGGATACTATATATTGTGGCAGAGCCATTTAAGAATGAGTTTGGGGAAGAGAAAATAATTATCTTGAAATTTTGCTAGATGTGGTGGCTCACACCTGTAATCCCAGCACTTTGGGAGGCCAAGGTGGACAGATCACCTGAGGTCAAGAGTTCGAGATCAGCCTGGCCAACATGGTAAAATCCCATCTCTCCTAAAAGTACAAAAATTAACCGGATGTTGTGGCACATGCCTGTAATCCCAGCTACTTGGGAGGCTGAGGTGGAAGAATCACTTGAACCTGGGAGGTGGAGGTTGCATGAGCTGAGATTGTGTCACTACATTCCAGCCTGGTCTACAGAGCGAGACACCATCTCAAAAAAAAAAAAAAAAAAAAAAAAAGAAGACCAATTATCCTGAAATTTCAAGTCCTGTAGCAATACTAGGAGCCTGGGAGGAAGAGAATCTTCCAATAGGCAGATAGAGACAAGGACAGGTGTTGAGATAGAAGCACAGCCCTGCTGATACTGGGACCACACAGAGCCTGAGTGAGTGAGCACCAAGGCTGCCTGCATCCAGGAGTTGGAGGGTGCTGTACTGCCCTGCAGGGTGTGAGCCACCCCACACACAGACAGCCTGCCCCCACTGATGGCCAGCCCTCAACCTGTTTCTGAAGGGTTCCCCCTGGTACGTCCTGTTCATCTGGGGCTGAGAAATACCTGGAATCACAGAACATTGAGAAGGAGAGCTGTGGTGGCAGCCACATCAAAGAGGCTGATGAGTGACAGCTACAGCATGGATGTGATCCCTGGAGGTGGGCCAGGCCACAGCTGCTGCCCCTTCTCTTACCCAAGCAGCTTCTTTCAGGGCCAACAGCCCCTCCCTTTTTACCTGGAGCCAGGACCCACCTACCAAGGAGAAGATGCACTGGGGGAGAAGCTAGGCAGCTTTCTGTTGATAACCATAATGCTTGTCACCTGCCAAGTGGCCCACCATCATTGGGCAGCCCCTTTGTTAATTTGGCTTTATTGTCATAGCTTTTCTCATCTTCATATCCCCCAAAGGCAAGGTGGGATGGATGTGAGTGTATTTTTAATCTGAGTGAAGCATAAGGGTTTTTTGTGTGTTTGTTTACAGCATCCCTTGATAATAATTACCACTATTTACAAGCAGTAAGTATCTGCAAGGCATTTCAACTCCATTCTATATTTACTCTTGTTAGTTTCACATAGAAGTGAAGAGTCTGGAGAGGTCAAATAACTCCTTTTGTCCGTGGTCACAGCTAGTTCTGTGGCAGGGCTGGAGTTGCTCTTCCTTTGTCTGTCTTTGCATCATTGCTGTCCCTTGCAGGCCCTACCTGGATGTAAGATGGCAGCAGGGTGGAAGTCTCAGAGCCTGCCTGGGTTTTGGACTCCGACCAGGGCTCAGACCTCAGCCCTGCCCCTTAGCAAGTCACTTCACTTCTACAGGCCCCCGTTTCCTCACCTACAAAACAAACAGGACACACTCTTTAATCTTTAAGTGATAATTAAGCAAGATTCCACATAGAAAGTTGACCTAGGATGTCAACAACTGTTGTTGATATTAGTGTGACTGTTTGCTATGGACTAAATGTTTTGTCTCTCCAGAACTCAAAGGTTGAAACCTCACTCCCAATGTGATGATATTAGGAGGTAGGGCCTCTGCAAGGTGCTTAGATCAGGAGAGTAGAGGCTTCGTGAGTGGGATTCGTGCCCTTATAAAAGGGACTCCAGAAAGCTCCCTTTCCTTTTCTACCATGCTGAGGTCACAGAGAGAAGACACCATCTATGAACCAGAAAGTGGGCACTCACCAGACATCAGATCTGCCAGTGCCTTGATCTTAGACCTCTCAGCCTCCAGAACTGTGAGGAATAAACGTCTACTGTTTATAAGCTGCCCAGTCTCTATAGTACTCTATTATAGCAGCCTGAATGGGCTAAGATACTGTTAATAATGGCAGTCATTTTGGTCACTATTTTATAGCACCTAGCTTGGTATACAGTAGAACGGATTTGATATATAAATTGAGTTTATAAAAACACTTTTGCTTTTCCCAAATATATAAACAGGAAGCAGTATACAGTTAGAAATTATTTAACTTAAACATCAAGAGAAATCTTTGAGATATTTCTTGGATTAACAAATATTGTAAATGTCATAGAAATTTCTATAAATGTCATAGAAATAAATGCCAACTGCTGATAGCAGTAATATTGAGGAGTTTTCTTCCAAGACCATGGAGTATGTTTTAACAACTTTGAGTAAACTGTTTGCTTAGATGGTAAACTAGATGTCCATGTATTCATTCATTCATTTAATACACATGTATAAAGTGCCTGCTGTTTGCCAGACACCATGCTAGGCCCTGGGGACACAGTGATGAACAGGACAGCTGCAGTCCCTGCCAGCAAGGAGCTTATAACATTTGGAGAATGACAAACAATGTTTTAAAATTAATTGCACAACAAGCAGTTACCCAATTAACTGATTATAGCAATGAGTGCCATGAAAGAAAGAGTCTAAATTAGAAAGAACATGTCACATGGTGGGAAAAAGCATTTTAAACAGAAGGATTAGCATGTGCAAAGGCCCTGAGACAAGAAGCAATTTAACTTATTGAAGGAATTGAGAAAAGGCCAGTATGTCTGGAGAGTAATGAATGAGAAGAGAGAAAAAGAGGAAGCTCCAAGAAGTGAGCATGAGCCAGACCATGCAGAACTTTGTAACCATAGTAGGAATTTTAACTTGATCCTAAGGGCAGTGAAATTACCTTTTTCAAAGCTTTATTTATCTTCTAATGTATGCGTTTAAGGCTACAAATTTCTCTATAAATACAGCTTTAGCTACAAGTTTTGATATATTATATTTTTAGTATGAATCAGTTAAAATTTTTCCAGTTTTCCTTCTGATTTCTTTTTTACTCATAGGTTATTTCAAAGTATATTGTTTAATTTCCAAACATTTAGGGGTTTTCTAGTTACCTTTTTTATAATTGGTTTCTGTTTAATTCTTCTGTGATTAGAGAACATACTCTAAATTCTTTGAAAATTTTTGAAACTTCATTTATGGTCCAGTATATGATGTGCTTTGGTAAACTGTCCATGTGCATTTAAAAAGAACGTGTATTCTGTCAGTAGATGTAGTGTTCTGTATTGTCAATTAGGTTAAGTTGGTTAGTCATGTTCAAATTTTCTGTATTTTTAATGACTTACAGATTTATTGTTTTTTTCTGACACTTTCCTTCTGAGTAAATTTTTTTTTACTATTTCTTTTCTCTTTCTTTCTTTTCTTTCATTCTTTTTTTTTTTTTTTTTTTTGGACAAGGTCTCACTCTGTCACCCAGGCTGTAGTACAGTAGCATGATCACAGCTTACTGCAGCCTCAACCTCCTGGGCTCAAGAGATTCTCCCACCTCAGCCTCTTGAGTAGCTAGGACCACAGGTGTGCACCACCAGACTTGGCTAACTTTTTAAATTTTTAGTAGAGAAAGGGTTTCACTATGTTGTCCAGGCTGGTCTTGAACTCCTGGCTTATGCGATCTTCCTGCCTCAGATTCTGAAAGTGCTGGGATTATAGGCAGGAGCCACTGCATGTGGCTGGCCTTCATTATTATTTTTTTTTTTTAGTGTTTTTTTTCTGATAAAAGTTCTATTTTTAATTATATGTAAATACCTTTTTCACCTTCATTTTGAAAAATATAGCAGTCATTTCTTTCAGCTCTTT